CTTGACCCGAAAACCGAGGCGACGCTAATTATTTATATATATATATACGAGGATTTTTATTACGAATTATTTTGCAATTTTCCCGCGCCAAGTATTTCGAGAAACTTATCGTCAGTTTCAACTTTCGCGACGTTCGATCGTTTTTCCCCAGACTAATTCCCGAATTTCGGACGATAAATGAGCCGCGCCATCAGCTTCGCCGTGTTATACGTCAGAGGAGACTCGGTTCTGCCGAGGATTAAACCTCGGATTATATCTTTCCCGCGGGAAAGAGAAGAGGGATAATTCCAGAACTCGAATAATTAACCCTGGCGCGCGACCAAGAAGGGACTGATGAATGTTTCCCTATTTGTAGCCCCCCAAAATGAACACACTACGCAATATGAACTATAACTTTATAACTTTCACGTAAATTTGTATCTACAAAAATTCTATCGATCATATTATATATAATATTTATATTATATATATATATATTATTTATTAATATTAATTATTTATATTATATATAATATCACAATCGATAGACAATACATGTTTTCTCTCGAGTCGCGGAGTTAAATAAAAATGGTTTATTGCAAAAAATCGGGAAGCCGGACGAAAAATCGAGAGAGGAACGCTTTCTACGTCGTGGTGAAATCACCAATCGATTGGAAGGCTTCGACCGGCATCGTTATCATGCGACAACCTCGCTGGCGAGATGTACAACGATGCTTATCACTCGGCGTGGATCGCGTCATCGCGGCATCGATTTTCGCTCTCTTCGAATCGGCGACGTCGCTCGGCTGGAAACGCTGAATAATGGAGGCGAGGAATTCGAAAAAAAGATCGAGAACGAGAGATCTCCTCTCTTCGGGAGGGTGAAAGAGAAAGAGAGAGGAGATATTTCTGACAAGAAAAGCGCCGCGAGGCCTAAATAAACGACCTGAATTTATACCTGGGCCTCAAGTCCGTCGCAGATGGGCCGAACTGCGAAAAGCCATCATCCCGACGAATGAATCACGCCGCTAATAAATCTACCGAAGGTGAAGGTAAACGAACGCGAGGCGGCAACTCGAAGAGTCGAACACCACCGAGTCGGATTTATTCCATTATATTCATTCGGATGACTTTTACATCATACGTCTTTATCATCCTTCCTCGAATTTCTTCGGATTTTTATATACGAACGAAGAGATCCGCTTGAATGTCAAATTCCTGCGAACGATGCCCGCGATTTATTTTTACAGCGCAATAAAGCGATATGTACTCTTTAAGAGAGTATTTACTCATTAAAATAAATTCTGTATCTTCGAGCTGAATGTTTATTTACATCGCAGAGATGCGTGTATTACTCTCGGGTATTTCAATAAAACTATGCACATATTCTACAAATAAAACTGTGTACATATTCTACAAATTCATACAAAATTTAGAGGTGTTATTTTTATTTTTACGACAACTTTTTTACAAAATATAACAAGAGAATTTATATTCCTCTATATTTTTCGCGCGTATATATATATATATCTCATTGTCAGTTGATCTTGCAGTATCCTGCGGTCAAACGTCGACACTCGACCTCCCTTTTTCCGATGTACGAAGAATCTAAAAATCTGTACTCATCGCAAATATAGAGATTTGCAGCTTTGAGGATAACCGAGTAACCGAGGATCCGTGGGATCAAAACTCTAAGACCCCTTTCTCTCCCTTTCTCGTTCTTTAACAAAGATTTTTACAATTTTTCTTCCTGCATGTCTCAAGAGTGGGATAAATTTATCCATGTATGACTCTTCGTAACCGAAAAGCGACAAGGATCGATTCGCGGACTGTCGTTGTCGGACCCGCGAAACCGCGAATCCCGAATAGCAGTGGAGTACCCGAAGAAGACCCTGAAGGAGAGAGAGAAAAAGCGTCGAAAATTCATGCTGTCCATCCTTCAAGAATACGAACGACGTTCTCTATTCTTCTGGAGGATACTGAATAATGGAGGAGAGCGAATGAGAGAAGGAACATTTAGGGGGCAACCGGTGGTGAAGAAAGGAAGGAGAACGACATCTCACGAGTTCTCTCGAGGGCCCGAAAACGGGCCCCTGGAGAACGTTAGTAGATGCTAATGCGGCCCTAAGCAAACTGGGATTTCTTTTCTCTACCTGAAGAGGGCGCTCGTTGCAGGTGGATGGAACTTCTGGTGTGTGTACGATCCTCCCTCTCTCTCTCTCTCTCTTGTTCCTCAAGTCTACCGCATGTGTGTAACATACGTGTATGCTGTATACAGGGTGTCCCAGACTTACTGTACCACACATTAACGGGAGATTCTTGAGGCGATTTGGAGACGATTTTTCCTCAGCGAAAATGTCCAGACACTAATAATTTTCGAGTTATAAACGATTGAAAATCAAAGCTTTTCTATAAACTAAGCCTTGTGAAAATCCATTATTAACAAAACTACATTTTTTAGTTAATTTTAGGTAAAGTTTACTATAATAGAATTGTAATTTAAGACTTAGTTACAAAGATATATGATGTCCAAAATTAGGAACATTGGCAAAATGATGATCTTTCTCGATATTTTCGCTGAGGAAAAATGGTCTCCAAATAACCTTAGGGGCCTCTCATAGAGATGTACGGTACGATAAGGATGGGAGCAGTGTTGGGTAGTATCTATAGATACATGTATTCAATGAAAAAAGCAATTCCATGTTTTGCGATATCATGTTTTATAAATTCTGAAATGCTTTTTTCAGATACATTTTCACATATTTTTTTTGAATACCCCAATTCTTTAAATTTCTAAAAGATCAAGACTGCAAGTTATCAACATATCGTCACCAACACGTTGAGCGATTATTAAGCATTGGCCAAATTTTAGTACAATAGCAAAATAGTTTGAGTGACGATACCTTTGAGGCATTTTCCACGTGTCAAGACTATATACTAATAAAGTCGTAATATAAACAAAAATATGGATAAAGATAAAAGAATGATTCAGTATATTTTGTGCATATTACCATTATTATGATAAAATATAAGTTCAAAGTATCTGATATGTATCTGAGATACTTTTAAAATAACCCAGTATCTGTATCTATATAACATTTTAATTTGCATATCTGTACCGATATTTAAATGTATCTTACCCATCACTGGATGGAACACCCTGTATATGTATATGTGTGTGTGTGTGTGTGCACACGACGTGTGTTTATTCGGTGCCCGTCCGGCCACCCGCTCACCGTCAACAACGAACTCGGCACGTACAGCCGTTGTGTGTCGGCGCGACGGCGATTATACAGGGTGTTTCTCGTGAAACGCAAACTCGAGACGCTTCCCCGAATTGAGGGGGCACAGTTGGCTCGCCTTAAAACGCGCTCTCTTTGCTCCGAAAGACCCGGGGGATGAAGAAGGGGGGTTACCCTCGTCTTCTCGGTTGAAGGATGACTCCACCAAAGTCCGGACTTTGGCAAACATGCGTCGCCCGAGGCGACGTTTAATTCGATTTCAAGTGGACATTCGGAAATTCGGAAGACTCCGATTCATTTAATGGAATGTTAGCTCTCTCTTTCTCTATCTCTCAGATTTCGTCGACTCGCGATTAAAATTAAATACCTACTGGGGAAAAAAGAGAGAGAGACCTTTCTTTTTTTAAGGACAGATATTTTTAATCGCGAACGATCACTCTCGGTGTCGCTTGATTGCAATTGCAGCTAAATGTTTGCAAGAGCCTAGCGAAGCTGCTTTAGAACACCTGTTACGCTGCAAAAATATTACAGAGAGAATCGCCATTGAACAGTAAGTCAATAATGGAAATGTATAACATTTCCATTATTTATCGTGCAATGTAATTTTACGCTTATTGTTCATTGCAATTTTATGGTGCGCGTTAGAGTTAATTCCTTTCGCAAATACGAATCGTAATACATCAAAAGGAGAAATATACCGTATTGATTTCAACTCGTATCACGCAAATGGAAATCCCAGTGTCAGAACGAGGTATTACGAGGCTGCTTTTCTCTACTGCGCTTTCGGGACACCCCATACATGCGCATGGGGAGACAGATGTACCCTATGCCGACTATGCGCTATAGACCCACCCGCATGCACTTTTAACGATCGAGATGATAAGTCGCACAGAACAGAGAGAGAGAGAGAACGAGCGAGGGTTCTCTCTGCGGATTAAAGTGGCTCCACACCGAGAAGGCGAACAGAACCCGGATACCCTGGAATCATAATCCGATATAACCGCCTTCGTCACGACCACCAGGCCCAAAGTCCACTATTTAAATCTTGGTCTGCAAATTCTCGTTCTTGAAGAAGGAGCGAGACGACATATCCGAAAGATGTTCAGAGGTTATTCAGAGAATATCCAGAGGACATTCGAACATCCTCGGGATGTTCTCTGAACGTCTTCGGGATATGTGTTTTGTTAGGGTTATTGGGAACCGTGGAATTGGATGTCTATACACATATATGTGTATAAAACTGCCTGAACTGGCAGTCTTCAACAGGCGAATGCCTGTTAAAAAAGGGAGAACTGCTTGTATAAAAACGACTCTGCTAAACGACGTAAACCTACATCATAGCCCGGGTTAGATTCAGGGAGGGAGGATAGACCCGGAGGAAGGGAGATGAGGAGGCTGGAGGAAATTACTCGAGATTATCGACTATATGCGCGAAAGGACTCTCTTTATATCCCCAGATCTTTAACGTTCCTCTGAATTTAACACTCGAGAGGCTGCCTTTTTCTCCTCCGTCCTGCCATTCTATCACGTAGACTCTTATATTCGCGTAAAGTCACTTCACTTTAATTGTATACAGGGTGTCCCAGACTTACTGTGCCACTCGTTAATGAGAGATTTGCAGAAAATTTTTCCTCAGCGGAAATGTCCAGGCACCAATAATTTTCGAGTTATAAACGATTGGAAATAAAAGCTTTTTTGTAAACTAGGGGTCTTGTGAAAATCAATTATATAACAAAACTACATTTTTTAGTTAATTTCAGGTAAAGTTTACTTTAATAGAATTTTAATTTAAGAATTAGTTACAAATTTCAAATAACCTTAGGAGTCTCCATAAACGGATGATGCGGTCAGATTGCGACACCATGTATATGTATGAAAAAACGGTCGATGTGTGAGAACGAAATGAAATTAAGCAATGATATTCTCCGAGTTTCCGATATTGATCAAGCTTCCTTCGGAAAAGTAACACCGTATATAGAACGATAATTATAAATTATCGCTTATTAAACGATCGGTTTTCTTAAATACAGTTCGAGAGGCCGGAGAGAAGGAGAGAAGAAAAGCAGGACGAGACGCATAGGATAGTCATTATAAGCGTCGCGTGCATCGATTATCTGTCGTCTGCCGTGAATTACGCGTAAAGTGGTAGTTTATGCAGAATCTACACATGAAAAGTATTTAAAAAACGGAAAGGGCGCACGTACCCGGAAGACCCGCGCAACACACTTAGCATCTTCGTCTTCTTCGCGATACTATAACGAGTCGCAAACGCGCAGCCCTACTTGAAATCTACCTGGTAAAGTCGTCTAAAAATGGGAACCTTTGGAACTTTTGCGTCTCCCGACTTTACCTTCTCTCTCGTCGTCTTGATTTAATCAATTTCCATGGAACATCCGTAATTATCCTAACGGCACACATATCCCGAAGACGTTCAGAGAACATCCTGAGAATGAGGATATCTTCTAAATATCTTGCGGATACGTTATGCTATTAGGGTACCCCAGACAGCACTGTATTCAAAATTGACGTTGTCATAAGACACCTTTATGAAATCTTATAATATGATATTCAAAAGACACCTGAAAGATGTGATGTCAATTTTGGACACGATACTGTCTGGATTCGGAAACGAGACGGAGAGAGGGTAGAATCGGAGAAGAATCCATTTTCGCTTGGACTCAGGATAACAGCGCAATCACGATCGCTATTGCTATAGTTGCAGGTTGTTTAAACACGAGGGAGAGCCAAAGCATCGCCAAACCACACTTGACCATCGTCTAACTTTGGGGCAGGAGAGCGTGATAGCTCGGCGTCTCGTAGAAGGCGGCGGCGGTTTGAAGGGCGTGAAGCGAGGTCGCGTGATGATGCCTGTGTATCGTGCTGGCGTAAACGCTGGATACGCCGGCCGCGGCGGAGACGCCGTTGGAAGCACCGAATATGGACGAGGAGGAGGTGATGGAGGAAGTGGAGGAGGCCTGCTGACCGATATGCGAGGCCGCCCGCGACAGCAACGTCGCCGACGGCCGCCTGTAAGGATGATGAACGACCGCCGCGGTACCGGCGCGATGATGATTGCTGGAGCTCGAGCTCGCGGCAGCAATATTGCTGTACGCCTGCTGATAGGACTGCCGTAGGATACCGGAGATCGACGCGGACGTTGGCGACGTGACCGACGACGAAGAGAGGAACTACGGTCGCTTTGGTGAGGCTGATGATGGAGCTGGTGGGCGCGATGCTGCTGCTGTTGCTGCTGTTGCTGGCGATGCTGGTGATTGTGGGCGCGCATGGCGCGGAAGTAATGCTGATAAATACCTGATATAACTGCTTTCTCATCCGCGGAGATGAGATCGGCCGCGCTGGAAGCCGGAAGCGTCGGCGTCACCGGCCTCTGTTGCTGTTGCTGCTGTTGCTGGTGATGCGGCTGTTGCTGTTGCTGATGATGATGAACGCGCGCGTGAGTCCGATGATGGTGATGATGATGATGATGACTCGGTTGTTGCTGTTGCTGGGAATGATGTCGCCGCTGAGACGGTTGTTGCTGCTGTTGCTGGGACAAGGTCGCCGCGACGTTGAGCGCCGCGCGATACGAGGCCGCCATGGTGACAGCTGACATCTGGCCGTGGGTCGTGGATAGCAGACCGGTCCCGGTATCCGCAGCGGCCACGACCGCCGCGGCGACCGCCGAGGACGACGCGATCGACGTCGCCGGCGACACGACCGAGGTGGACACGACGTTGGTGGAAACGACGTTGCTGTTGTTATTGTTATTGTTCGACGGTGGTACGACCGTCGTCGTCGTCGAGGTAGACGCAGCGGCGACCGCGATCGCCGCGGTCGCGACCGTGACCGCCGCGGTGGTCGCGGATACCGTCGCGGCGTTGCTCCTGCGACCGCTTCTGCGGGAGGACATCGGCGCCGTCGTGGGTGCCGCCGGCGGCGGCAGATTATTGACGAAGGGGCTCCGTCTCTCGCGCTCGGCGCGCCGATAGTAACACGGATGGATCATCAGGAGAGGCTCGCCGCCGCCGGGCGGCGGTTTCGCCTGACTCGGCAGCTCGTACTCGACGCTGCAGTCCACGTGGAGCGGCTGCGAGTAATCCTTGTACTCCTTGTAATTGTTGATCGCCACGGCGGCGGTCGCGGTGGCGACCGCGGCTGCCGCCGTAGCCGCGACGGCGTTCGTCGTCGCCGGGTTCACGACCGTCGTCGACGACGAGTTCGTGCCGGAGGTGGTGGCGGCCGCGACGACGGTGGCGTCGTCGAGACCGGTCGACGTCGCCGGTAGCACCGTCTGCCCGGTGACCCCGGATGACGCACCGACGGCACCGCCGCCGGGATGATGATGGTGATGATGATGATGATGGTGATGATGATGGTGATGGTGGCCGTGTCCGTGGTGCACGGCGGCGCCTATCACCACTTCCTTCTCGTAGCAGGCGGCGGCCATGTTGTCGGGTGCTTCCTCCTCCTCCTCCTACTATCCGGGCTTCCGCCGGTGCGCCGCCGTCCCTTCTTGCACGCCCGGCGCTGACGACGACCCACGATGACCCACGGTGTCGAACGCTAGGCCCTCATCACGCGGGTGGACGACGACCGCGAGGATTTTCGCCGGGATGCTTCGACGTCGCTCCGTCGTCGAGGAGTGAGCGACCAGGAAATTCCTCCTTGACCGATCACGGGGACACAGGAAGTTGCGTCAGGGTGGTCAGTGACCACCGCGATGACGGTACTCCCCGATTGTATTCGTGCACTCACGAGCGAGCCGGGGAATAGGATTGTAGCTCATCGCCGCGGTATCAGCCTTGACCAAGGGTTGGACCAAGAGGATATATCCAACACCGAGGACAAGCTTTCGAAGAAGTAAGCAAAGAGAGATTTTACTTTCTTTCACTTCCAACAAAAAGCTCGTCTTAACGTGCCAATTACATACGAGACCCTCGGTTATTAATGCCCGCTTATCCAGAACGGTCGGTCTCCCTCTCTCTCTCTCTCTCTCTCTTTCTCGTCCAGCGTTCGCTGTCAGGACCACCCGTCGTCCTGCAGCCCTCTCTTCCTTGCTCCCCTACCTTCCTCCTGTCTCGCTCTTCCCTTCCGTCTTCCTCTTTCTCTCTTCGTCCTTCCCCCACGTCTTCCACCCGTCTTTCACGCGTGCTTCTGCTTCACCGTCACGGAGACGCTGCTCCAGGTCGCCGTCGACGCCCCGCCGCTTTCGCGAATTCAGTCCCGGCCGCGTGTCGGCGGGGCCGTCCGTGAAGCCGCGTGGCGTAACCGTGGGAAACGTCAGGGTGCGACAGCGATAGCGTATCGTCGGGGTGTCTCGTCGGGCCCGAGCCGACGTCCGACTGACTTGACTGGGCGTAGTAACGTGCGGCTCGCTCGCCCGTGTATCTGTGTGTCTGTGTCCGATTCCGCGTGTAACTGTGTGCGTACGCGCCGACGTTTTACGCGACGCGGCGTCTATATCTCGCGACGCATGGATATCCCGGTCTCTCTTTCTCTCTCTCACCCACACACACACATGTACACTCTCTTTCTCCCCCTATTCTCCCTGTCTCTTTCTTTTAATATACGAATATATATATATATATATATACGTGCACTTTAATATAATCGCGAAAACTCCGATACGACGGTGCCACCCCTGGTAAGGACGTGCGGGCACGTCCCAACGTTGACGTTTGTGTGTATGTATGTGTGTGTGTGTGTGTGGACGTGCGGTCTGCGCTCGCACGTATGTGTGCGCAACGCAGGCAGGTGAACGGCGCGACACGATCGTCGCGCACTGGCAGCCGAGCTGCGACTGAGAGCAGAGTTCCTGGGGGAGAGTCTCGACGGCTCCCCTCCCGATTAAAGCGAATTGCATTCGCCGGCAGTTCGCGCGGATGGTCGATCGTTGTGCCGGGCTATAATGCCGGGTTTACACCGGCTCCGGAAATGACGAGGTTCAAATATATTCTCCGACTTTCTACAGATCCGCATTTGTTATTCCATTCAGAAATATGTTGCTTCAAAATTCTTTTTTTTTTTTTTGAATTTAAATGCGTAGGTGCGTTTTGAAAAATCGATCTCAAAAGTCGATCTCGAAAGCCATCTCGAAATACATAACCAAATCGATTTGTCAATTTTATCGCAGTTTGAAAAATTTAATTTTTTTATATTTTTTATTTTATACTTTTTTATATTTTATATTTAAAAAATGAGATAAATATATATATATATATATATTTGACGTATTGTCTCCGCCGCGAATAAATAAAAAAATCAGATTGATATGATCTCTTATGCATTGCATTATGCGCATCAGAAATATGCTTCAAAATTCTTTTTTTTTAAATTTAAATGCGTAGGTGCGTTTTGAAAAATCGATCTCAAAGGTCGATCTCGAAATCCATCTCGAAATACATACCAAATCGATTTGTCAATTTTATCGCAGTTTAAAAATTTAATTCTTCTTTCACGATATATTTATTATTTTATTTAACGGTCATTATTATTTAACGTTAAGTAATTATTATTCTTATTTAATGTTGTTACTTGTCTTTTTTATATTTTATATTTAAAAATGAGATAAATATATATATATATATATATAATATTTGACGTATATTGTCTCCGCCGCGAATAAATAAAAAAATCAGATTTATATGATTTTTAATGCTTTGCATTATACGCATCTAAAGTGAAATGATGTATAAATAAATTGCAAAAAGAAGATAAATAAAGAAAGTCGAAAAAAAAAATTAGAAAAACAGATTCTAAGCCCGATTCGATTTTCCACAGATATTCGGGTGGCAGCACTGCCTCTTTATTAAAGACCGGCGCTACCTATCCAAGGCACGTGAAGGCGAGTGAGATCAGAGACGCCGCTGTGCAAGTGCAAGCGCATTGTGCGTAAGTACCGCGTATCCTCCCTCCTCTTATTTGCGTGCACCTATTGTCCGATGCCAGGATCGATATGACTGCCGAGGCACCGCTTCCGTGTAAGATGCATTACTTAGATATTTCTATGTTAGTACATTCATTATATTACATACACGCGACTTAAGGTTAGCCCGTGAAACCTAACCTTTACGCACGCTTCTCGAATTCTATCCTTATCTTAATCGAGTGTCGCGAATGATGCAATTCTGCATTATGAAAGAAGAGAAGGTCCTCTTTGTATGTTCCTTATAAAATAAACGTAGATAAAAATAGATTCACGTTGCGCGATAATTTTCGTTGCAAAGTGGATCGCAAATTTGCATTAAATTCTTCGATTCTCAAGAATGTTTAGTCATTCTTTTCAATTAAATTGTGTATTTTCTTCAGTTTGCAATATGGTTCTTAGTAATTTCGAAAAGTTTGTAATAAAAAATTTGACAATTCAGAAACTGCGCTTTATATAATACGAGAAAATATGTAACAAAGCTGTATCTATTTCTGAATTTCTGTTTTTAGAGAACATCCGATCCGTCCTGATCTGGAAATAACTCCAGTGTACCTGAAGAAGAACATCCTCGAAGCCGTTCGGCAATTGTACGGCGAGGAGGGAGCCAAGAGTCGGATAGACATTCTAAAGTTCAACCCTGCGAATCGCAGATTCATCTTGCGCTGTCCATCTGACGCCTACACGCTGCTACGAGCCTCCTTAACTTTAGCCACCAAATACGAGGGCGAGACGTGCGTGTACACGATACACCGAGCGTCCAGGAATTTACTATCCTTCACCGCTGACAGCAGGACGTTTAACCACGGAGAGGTAGTCTAAGGATACAATTAATCATGCCATTAATTCGCAAGGAGGGCAAGGACACCATCATTTTCGCGTCCAAGGAGGACCACGCGGCTCCCAGCAAGATCAGTTTGCCGGATCCGGAACCTAGTCCTGGTCTGCTGCTGCCTAACGGTGAGATCAACTGGAATTGCCCTTGTCTAGGTGGTATGGCGACCGGGCCGTGTGGATTAGAGTTTCGCGAGGCTTTCTCCTGTTTCCATTACTCGACCGCGGATCCAAAGGGCTCCGACTGTCGTAAGGTATTCGAAACGATGCAGGACTGCATGTTGCAGTACCCAGCGCTGTACGAGAGCAGAGGCGCACCTTCGGAGGACGACCTGGACGACGAGGAGGAGCTGGCTGAAGGAATGGAAAAGTCAGCTTCCAGCGAGGAGAAGAGAAAGGCAATCGCTAGTCAGGACGAGATATTAGAGACGACGACTGAGAACAGAGTGAACACTTCGAGTACGAAACAAGAAGTGGAGCGAGCCAAGACTAACTGAATCGATGTTACTTACACTTTGCGCACTTCGCTGTTTCAAGGTGACATTATAGTGTCTTTTTTCTCTTCTGTTAATGAATATTTTATGTTTTTTCGAGAGAGCACGATATCACGCCTTGTTATATTGCGGTGTAGTATTTGAAGACGCGTTTTTCTAACGCATAAGTAATGAGACTTAAAACGTGAAAGATCTCTCTAACTTGAACAAAAGTGACGATAGGATAACTAGAAAACACTAGGAGGGCGCAATTATTTTTCTGATATTTCATAGATTTATCAGATCAAAGCCTAGAGAGGATAAATTTAAAAAGCGTGTTTGTATAGAGTAATTAGAGAATTTATGGTAAGTCTGGATATAGTCAATTGTGCAGTAAAGTTGTTCAAAGATTTTATGTTAGTCTGTTATTAAAAAGATCTTATTAATTTGGTCGCCTAATTTCTTCCTTGCGACTCTTAAGGCCTAATGTACTTGTCCTTTATGCATTTAATGCTTTATTTTATAATAATAATGAATGATTAATTTTTGGCAAGTTTTTGTTTCATGAAAAATTATATATTTCCAGGAATAAACATATAACAAAATTTTTAAATCTCTGGGCACTATATGTTTGCATGAATCATAATCAGAAATGCGATAGTATTAATCAGAAGTAATTATATTAATTAGATGTATTATAATTCATCAAAAAGTAGAAAAATACATTCAGTGCAGTAAAATTAAAATTATAAAATTACACAATGTTTAAATTGTTTTGATTATAAATTGCATATATTCTTTTAAAACAATTCATTTTAAAATAATCTTAATTATTATAAATGCACTCTTTAAAAAATAACTTTTGCTTAAGTATAAGATGCAGCTGTAAAGAATTGCAGAATATAGTTATTGAAATAATCTACATCTAGCAAGTAGCATCTTTTAATCCACAATTTAATCGATTTGTTTTCCATCTGCAAATGACTGATTTAATCAAACTAAATTATCAAGCTTGTATCATAAAAGTACTTAATCTAGTTTGTATTAGAAGATTACAATTGCTACACTGTATTTTTTTCACTTTTCAGAAATCTTTTATTTATCTTGCATGGATAATAAGGTTCCCTTATAAAATTCAAATATTTTAATTTAAATGACAGAGAAATACATACTGTATATATAAATATATATAGTATATTATATATTCTATTACAGTATATTATATGTATATTATAGTATATTATATAGTGTATGTATATATATATATATATATATATATATATATATATATATGTATGTATACATATATATATATATGATATACATATAATATACTATGATATACATATAATATACTTATATATATTATATATACTATATATATTTATTTCTATATACAGTATATATATATATATATATTATATATACTGTATATAGAAAGAGATTAGAAATCTCGTGCGCTTTCCTTCGTTCGAACTTCCCGCGCGTTTCCTGACCTGCGCGTCAAGTTCCGCGGTCCACCGCCAGATGGCGAAGCCATCCCTCGGCGGATGCCGTGTGACGTCAAATCGCGCTCCTCCCCCACCCCGCCGTTCTCCATTCCGCTTTTGCGTTCGTGTATACCGTACCACAATAGTAGCGTCTCGCGCGGAGAGATTCATCAAGTGTACATCGGCATAATAATAGCGTTACCGCGCGTTTGTCAGTGGCCGTACGCCGCAGCATCAGTCGCGTCGCGTTTCTAACGCGACGACACAAACGTCCGCGCGGGATCATGAATACATCGCGGTCGGTTCGCTCGCCGGAACGCGACGTCCGTCTCGATACGTCTTCGGTTTGCGGTGCAACGCGTTGAACGGTGGTGACACGCGCGCATCGATCTCCGATACCGACGCCGAGATAGACAAACAGTGCCAGAAAGAGAGATAGAGAGAGAGTGATCCGCGAGCTGTGCAGTGAGAGAACGAACGAGGTTTACGAACGTCGATAAAAAAAAATAAAGGAGCCTCCTCTCGCGCGCGCCGGATACGTTCCTTGGCAGTGACCGAGAGTGTCCCGGTTTTGTGCACTGGGTGTAACGTCCCTTTGTCGCAAATCTCTCTCCCTCACTCGTCGTGGCTCATCATGGACACTTATAGAAAGGAGAAGAAGCACAAGGAGAAGAGGAGGTGAGTCTGTATTTTCGGATCGCGACCGTATGGAGTCGGAATATTTTTATGACAATAATATATTGTTCGTCAAACTGACAAAGTTCAGGACAAAAAATGAGAGGGAGGAGAGAGAGAGAACGACGGGCGTGTTTGACGCAATCGTTCTGTTTCTTTGATGTCGGGACCATCTTTCTCTCTCTCTCTTTTTTCTCTGTCTGAATCCCGCGCTCTATCTCCCTCGCACTTTCCTGAGCTGTCACTGTCTCTCTCTAGCACCACGTGATCCCGCGTCAAATGTCTTCGTCACTCTCGCGAGAGCTTTCCTCCCGTTTTCTTGCTAAAAAATCTTTTTTCGATTTTCATTTCTTCCAAGGAAGAAAAGGCCCTAAGCAAGATTCTTTTCCATCTTTTAATATTTTTTTATATTTTCGTTCGCTCTAATATTATTTATGATAGAATCGTTTTTTGTATTCCTTTGAGGAATTTTTTGACTTGTGGCTAACTTGATGAAATTTATTTGGCTTCTCTTTCTCTCTCTTTATTTATCTATTATTTATATTACAATAACTGAATACAGAAACGTAAATAAGTTCTCTTATTCATGTTATTTTGTTTGTTTCAAAAGTTGAATGAGAGATGGGAAAGGGAAATAATGTAGATATAACTTATTTTTCTTTAAAAAATATAATTCAGTTATGAAAAAATATAACCGTATACACATTTAATATCATCGGGAGAAATTTTTCTCTATCCCTCTCGCTCGTTTTTTCTCTCTCACATGACTTTCTAACGGTATGCGAACGCTTTTTGTGTCGTGTAATAATTTCAGACCATAAACATAGATCAAATGTTTTTATAAATATTTTCGATAGGATCATTGTTAATTTTTTTTTAATTGCTAATTATTTTTTTTTATACTCGATTTCTCTTTTCCATCACGTTGCGTGTGCTTAATTCAGGTATTTTGTGTTCATTACGCACTGTTATATCATTTGCACGCAATTTGAACAGTTAATTAATATTGTATTTGAAAATATCTCATCATCCACTATTTATTACGTAATATAGAAGCACATTAATTTCCCCGGAATATTCCGATATATTCGTCCTAATTTATTTGATAAATGCAGGGTCATTATCTATTTCGTTAGAGTCGAATTTTGTTAATGTACTCAATTTTTATCAAAAAATAAATAGCGGAACAACTTGCCGCTATTATACGATTTCGATCAAATATTTTTAAAGTATACGGAAAGATAAAACTTCTTGTCATTTCCTTTTATGATTCATATCAAATAATTTACCGATTTCATTTAACCTGTTTAATGAATCATGAAACAAGGGCACGTTACTTTATTTTAAAAAGAAACAAATATTTAGATATGACATTATACATATGTATGATCGAAATTGCAAAATTGAAAAATTGCTCCGATGTTTTTTTTTTTTAATACAACGTACGATTTTGCATCAATGTATTTTTTTAGCGAAAATCTAAAAATATTTTCTTCGGAATAATACACGCTTTGCATATAGAGTTCTATAAACAGTTTGTGAAATAAGGCCAGTCGTGTCATTATTGCCATTATTGTTATAAAAAATTTGTCAGACGACATCGCTCGTAAACGCTTCTCAAGCAGAAGTGAACTTTTTTTTTATCGCCTGGATATAGCTGCGTCCATGACTGCGCTAATTCTCGTATAATTAAGCCTAGAGCGACCCAACACTTTACTCGTAACTCGTATCTACACCGATCTATTTCGTAAGAACGTAGAACGGAAAATTTTTACGATTCTATTCTAATCGTAAATCAACAATTCAAAGTTCAAACACTAACCGATTTTAAGTATATCCCTTTTTTTACACGTACGAAAATTATTACAAAGCGCACGTTACATTCTCTATGAATTTTCTTGCATTATGTGTGAATGTATATTATAATAATAATAGAATTATTATTATAATATAATTATAAAATATTATAATAATTATAATATAATAATGTCATAATATTATAATATTATTATAATAGAATATATATTTATATATATATATATAAAAACTCCAAAATTAAAAACAAGGAATATTTGTCTTTGCCGATGCATAACACATCGCCATTTAATCTACATAATTTATCTACATTAACAATCGTAAAAAATGAACATGCTGCCTTTTTTTTTAAGATTGCTTCTGCGATTATCTTTTGCATTTATTACGTATCAATATTAATCGATTTAATAATCAAATTAATTCTCCAATTGCAATATTAAATTTGCTTAAATTTTTAAAAGTCAGAAATTGTTTAAATTCGTTATTTTATTATTTTGTGATTGTGTTATCAAATACGAACAAACGCATTTGTTTTACAAGATGTTAAATGACCTAGAAGAAAAACTTGTAGAAAAACATGATCTTTCGAGGATGCTTTTGTTCCCTGAAGAATTTCCGCGAGCGTTTTTCGCGCGACGCGCAAAAATAACCATTCGGCTCGCAAATTGTGAGGAAATCGTGAATCGGGGTCACATGATAACCACTAGAGCGAACAAGATCAGCGAAAATCGTCACGTTCGCCATGTCTCGATAGAACAATTTTATAAACGGCGGAAAATATCTCGATCTACGTGTAAACTCGCAGATAGCTCGAGTTCTCTCAAAATATAATAATAGCGACGTCTCTGATCATTATTATTTGACCCTTTTGCACGCACTTTCCGTCACGTAGGCCATAAATTAAGCAAGAAAGCTCAGCTCTTTCATTATTGCAACATTAATTTTTATATACAGGAGCAAGAAAGAGAGAAAGTTTTTTTGCATATCTGACTTATGAAATCTTCGGTCCACGTTCTGGACTTTCCCTCGTGTGCACAAAGTATTTTTTTGTGACGCCGCATATGAAATACGTTTATTTAATGTTAGTGTAAATTGACAGTAAAGCTGTCATTTTTTGTAGAATTTGAATTTATGCGAGCATTATGATCATTTAATTAAATTACTAGGTGTTGCAGAACACAAAAAGAATTTGATTATTTCAATCTTATTAAATTATATATAATTTATTCATATAATTTAATTTATACACAGAGAGAATTTTCTCTTGGAATTTACCCTGAAAATCATGATAATCGTGGGACAATATGATAAAGATTTCTCCCATTAATATTTACCACAAGAAAAAATATTAATATCTACCACAATAAGATATAAAATATGTTCGATTAATTTTATTACATACATAGTCAAATTTACTATGTACATTTAAAAAAATCATTGAATTTGAATAAATATTTATTTCAATACTGTCTTATAAATCATTTATTTGATATAAAAAAATCCTTCTCAAAACAGATAATTTTTATTTGTTTCAAATAAATGATTTATTCGGCAATATTGAAATAAATATTTATTAATTTAATAATTTGTTCAATGTATATATATTAATATTTTTTATTGTGATGAATATTAATCAGAGAAACTCTTATAACACAAAAATTCTTCCAATACCATATATTGTCTTACAGTTACCATGATTTTCCGAGTAAATTTTAAGATAAAATTCTCTCCGTGTATAAATTCATATAATTTAAATATTTTTCTTTAAAAATTAAATCTTTCAATTTATCAGGTTTTGCTTTGAAACCCATAAGAAAGACACATCATTATATCGCCAAGAAATTGTATTTATTTCACAGCCAATGAGAGATTTTTTGTTTTGTTGAGTTTAGTCAAAATGTGCATATATTATAGTGAAATAAGTGCTAAAATTAATTATTAAAAAAAATAATTAGAACTGTGCAACCCACGCGTTTTCCATTAATCTAACACACCGTAACATATCTGTCAATAAACCAATAAAAAAAATTACAATACGTCTCGTCGAATGATCGGCAATGTAGGGGCAGATAAGAGGGGAAGAAGAGATTACTATGTCAATTAAAGCGCATCTACTATGACAGTTATTTCTCTGTATAAATGATGATAAGCGAGGGGAGCGAGCTCTTTTCGCTCCGGGCTAGATATTTCGCTGGCATGTGTGTCTACAGGGCGTTTCGCTTTTATCGGCGTTATTTATATCCATCAAAGACAGAGGTTTTCTCGCGAGGTTCATCTTTCCTCGAGGAAAACGACGAGACGATCGTGATTTTCGAATAATTAGCGAGGAAAGATAAGGAGAGGCTTTCTAATCTTGTTGATCATTGCAAACTTTTAAGTTAATCTTAAGTGGAGTTTACTTCAGTGGGATTTCAATTTTTTGTCTTTTTATCTTTTATAAAGATATAACCAATTTTTCATCAGCGCGAAAAGTTGCGGTGTATGATAATTTTCCTTGATACTTTCTCTAATGAAATAGCAGTTCCAAAGACTTTATCGTCAAAATTAAATTCGCCCCAAAAATGAAACACTATATATATATATATAGCGACGATTACTTATAGTCTATATACAAAGACAGGCAGTGGCCTTCTGGAAAATTTTCTTCCCCGATTAATCATCTACTTTAAAAGTATAAACAGCTAACAAAAACTTGTAGGATTTCATTTCTAACTAATCTCCATAAAGAAAAAGAAGTTTCGAAGAGTTAGTAAATCTACAATATAAATCTACTTTATTTAGTAGAGTATCAATATAAAAAGAACTTGTTTTAGCAGACGTTTCACGATTTAAATAAAAAACAGAAGGAAAAAAAATTGATATATTATTGATAACTTTTTTTCAACTTATTTACGCTGGTCATTTTTTTTTTAACTATTCGTTCATTTCAACTACAACTTTTGTTAATGCATAATTAATTCTGAAAACAAAATAAATGATACAAACATATGTGAATTATTTTTAGACTTGTCAGTCTGTTTCTTCTCGATAAGTAGAAATCATTATTTTTTATCGAGAATTGATTAGATTTAGTGTTAATAGATAGTATTTTTGTTAAATCAAAGATTAAAAATATCGAATAAAATAAAAACTCGCGTGTGTCATCAAATTTGGATAGAAGTCCAGACGAGTTTCATATCTTCTTAAATGTTCAATTTAGATCTCCTCTTTACAAATGGGTACAAAACGTATTGTATTTATATCGGTGTCACATCTAGGAATCTGGGATCTATAAATACAGAAAGAATTTCTTTTAGAATTTACCCTAAAAATCACGGAACAATATGGTATTGAATTTTTCTCTGATTAATATTTATCACAATAAAAATATAATTAAGATTTAACTAGGCTCTGTAATACCAAGATATAAATTGGAATAATCTCTACAAGAGATTTTTAATTCCATGTATCCCCTATTCCCCCAACATCCGAAAGTCGCAGAATCGGGAATCGATTAAAAATATTAATATCTACCACCATAAAATACAACATATGTTCGATTAATTTTACTATGTATATATTTTATTGTGATAAATATTAATCAGAGAAGCTCATAAAATTCTTCCAATATTGTCTCACGATTACCATGAGATTTTCAGGCTAAATTCTAAGAGAAAATTCCGTGTAGTTGCCTCAAGCACGAAAGTTTCGTTAAAATAAAAGATGGAAATATTGACATTAAGAACTCGTAAAAAAATGTTGATGAAAAACATCTGTCGAAAGTATACGATTAAATCGATCGCTTCGACATCGATTGTTCGCGAATTAATTTTCATCCCAGAATAGCATTTCCATTTCCGTAATTGCGTCAGATGCGAGGATTACGCGACTCAAAGATGCATTGTTACTCTTGATTACGTCTATTCTTGCGGCGAGAAAACGCTGGATATTTAAACGATCGCGGTCGCGTCGATCTTTTATTTGACATCGTACAATGGTTCCTTTTGTTCTTGTCGCGATCAGACTCGTGGGAGATCATCTTATCTTCCATGATAGGACACTCGCGATTACGACCGATCATCGGGCATTCAAATTACCGGGAAGTTATTAAACACGCGATCGCGAAGAGTGGGTTATATATCGAATTTTTTCAGTTTATATATAATATTAATAGTTTTTATTGTGGTAAATATTAATCAGAGAAACTCTTATAAAATAACAATCCTTCCAATACCATATATTGTCTTTTATACGATTATCATGATTTTCAGGATAAATTCTAAGAGCAAATTCTCCCCGTATATAAATTCATATAATTTAAATATTTTTCTTTAAAAATTAAATCTTCACATTTATCAAGTTTACTTTGAAACTCATAAGAAAGACACATTATTATATCGCCAAGAAATTTTACTTATTTTACAGCTAATGAGAGATTTTTTGTTTTGTTGAGTTTAGTCAAAATTTGCATATATTATTGACGACAAAAAGTGAGTAGGAAGAGTCTGAAATGAGAGAGAAACAAAAAGATTAAAATTTATCAAGTTAGTATATATTATATATAGAAATTAATTAAAATATATATTTTGCCGCGCTTATATATGCATAAAAGATAAAATAAAATAAAGCTCTCTTACTACACATTATTTATATATCAAAAATTCTTTAACCTGAAATTTGTGGAGTTTTTAAAATTTTATTAACTGGAAGATTGCAAGAAGGAATTTTTTAATTGTACGTTTTTGATTTTTGTAATTTGCTACTTTCTCGAAAATAATTTCGTAAACTTTAATCGGATAAATTATTTTATTCCTTCTTGTTTTATTTACGCGGTTTTAATCAGAAACTGCGTGCTATAAAATGCAAATATATGTTAATTGCTTGATTTTTTTGCTTCGTTCCCCTTTAATCGGCGCCTTTATCAATGCAAATAAAACATCATTATCGCATTCTGTAAATTATATCTTTATTCCACTTTAATGGTTGTTTTAAAGCTTTTTTATAATAAATTTCTCATGTTATTAAAATATCAATCGTTGATACATATATAAACAGATATCATCAATGTTACATTACTATATTATTATCAAAGAAAAACAAAATTTGCCCTTTAATCTCCAAGATAAATATTTGTAATTCTGTTTTCAGAAATGTTTATTTTTCGGCTTATCTTTCATAAGGATATTAAAACAATCTTGTCATATGTACTGAAATTTTAGATGAATTAATTAGATATACATATAATAAAAACAACTTTGATCTTTCAACTTTACACAGCTTATTGTAGAAAAATAATTTTTTTGCGTAAAACAAAAAATCGGAATCTACAATATCAGAAATCGATAAGCGCAAGCAATAAAATTGATTATGTCCAAAACGACGAAGGCTCTCGTGCCCGGTAATTTTGTTATGCGGCGCGCGCCGCCGATGATAGAGTATCGTTATCGATGTGCCAGATAACGATCAAGCCGAGCACGTCCAGCATCGCGTTGCTACCGGTACCGGTTTAGTATCGCGCGAGCCGTGCAGGTAGATGAAAAGTCGAATTGGAGAGAGCATGCGGGAAGTGGGGATGAAAGATCATGCCTTGGAATCGGTAAAACCGAATGAATCGATGACATGTGATTGACCTCGTTGACGATTATTTTATTTTTGCCTTGTTAAGATAAACAGGCGATCGAGAGATACAATAAAAATATATAAGAGATAAGAGACAATCTAAATAATTGTTCCTCAAAATTGTTTCGGAAAGGTGGGGCATAAAATTGGTTCGAAACAAATTGGAGAAAGAATAGGACGGATAAAGAAAACGTGGGAAAAGTAAGTAAGTGAGAGTTTTCTCTTGTCGAAGGACTAAATAAGAAGAGGATATCATCAGAGAATGAGAGGAAAAGAGGAAAGAAGATAAAGAAGGTAGAAGGAATGAACAGAATCGAAGAGGTGAGTTTTGTTCCTTCCTTCGTGTTAATTGGAATTCATTATTGAAAGTAATTAAGATACGATATATGTGTACTAAGTTTAAAACGAGTCTTTGGAAAAGAAGATGTGTCTAAAGAATAAATGAAAAAAGGAAGAACGAAGGCAGATATTCTATGTATAAAGAGACATTAGAACGAAATCTTGGTTTTTTCTACCTTCCTTCTCTCGTCCTCGCTCTTACCATTGTAAAATTTCCAATCGATCACGTGGACCACACATGATCAAGATAAGATCTTGGCGACAAAAAGTGAGTAGGAAGAGTTTGAAGTGAGAGAGAAACAAAAAAAAATTAAAATTTATTAAGTTAGTATATATATATATAGAAATTAATTAAGAACGATATCAGAATGCCGGAAATTTACCGTGGTGAACTAATTAGTCAGTGATAAAAATTATCTTTCACCAACAACACTTTTTATCTGAAAACCGAGGAAAAGCGAGGAAAGCTGAGGAAAAAAATAATAGAAATAATTAGGAAAGAAAGAATTAGAAATAATTATACTGAAAGTATTTGAGTCAAGAAACAGAAAAAAGAAGCAACAAACACGGATGAAGAACAAGTGAAATTAGCATAATCAAAATATAAAATTCTTGCTGATTACATCATACATAGCCTAATCACGAATGGGATAAATTTTTGCCAAAAAAGACACCATAGAAAGCGAAGAAAAAAAAAATAGGACGACATTTAACAGAAACTGAAGACAAATAAAATTCTAAAAGTAGCAAAAAGATAAAGAAAAAAAATTGCGATCAAGATTGCAATAATTAGGACGAGAAGATCCCGGCTCAAGTTGCGAGCGAATAGAAGCAGAAAGAACCGAAGAAGACTGATGAAGTGAAGAAACCAAAAGAAGAAAAGGAAAGCGAAAGGAAACGAAGCGCAAGAAATCCGACAGACAGATGAAAATAATTCGAAGTGGCGATTAAAATCGCAAAAGGCAGCAATGAACGCGCGTTTGCGTCACTTGGACGAAAAAGAAGACGAGGGTGGCGAAGGCGAAGCGAGATCGAAGGGAGGAAGCCTCATCCTCGACGACGACGTCGACCTCGATGAGCGTCAGACGACGAGGAGACGAGACGAGAGGATGAATAATTTTCCGAGCAATCCGAATCGATGGATCTCGCACAGCAATATTTGCGCCGCACCCTGTCCGAACGTGACGTCACACGGCGGCGATAGACCGCGGTCTTACGATATCGGAACGACACCTCGCACGATCACGAGATGCGCCACGTATGCACCGGATGCTAGTTGCAACGTGGCGTGCAGCGCTGTACCAGCGACGATATGCAACATCGCGAGTGGCGAATCGATGACGTCGGGTCCGATCGACGTCGAGGATCTCGCGATGTATCTCGATCCCTGCAAAGCGCCCTCGACGACGATCAATAATCGCGCGGTCTACCCGAAGAGGTACGGCCCGCAGGGTTTACGGATAGATCAAGTCCCGCGGCATGAAGATCCATCTCATCGCTATCTGGATTTCTGCAATCCACGCCCTCGCGTAGCCGCTCCGGGGTGCAACGATTTACGAGGGTGCGAGCTGGATCCGGTTGTCGCCGATAATAATCCGGCTCGCGATCTCGGAGATAATACGGGGAATCTGACGTATCGTGATTTGGGATTCGACGAGCCGCGATCTTGCTATCTGAGATCGAACGAGACTCCGCAGCTTTACGAGGTCCTACCCTCGCGCGAAATTGGGCGGAACGACGATCCAAAGTGGCCGAGCGACTGGTTCGGCGACGACTGCCCGGAACTGCTGTTCGATTTCTGCAGCGAGGAACGCTGGCTGCGCTGCCCGGCGAGCGACCGCTGCCCCTTTTACGAACCCTCGTACCCTCACGGCGGCACCCCCATCGTTCTGCCGCCGTGCCTGTACGAAGGTTACAGCGCAGCCGACTGGCGTTACGACTACGCGGAGGACGAGCGGCTTCTCGAGGATTACTTGTAAGTCGGCGATCAACAGGTAACATACCTGTGTCCGTCCTTCTGTTCTTGCGCGACGTTGAACGTCAACGACGGGATAAATATCGCAAGGAATGATTTTTTGAAAAGGTTCATCCTTTTAATAAACAAATATTCTAATTTAATTCAATTTTTATTTTATTTCATCTAAGATTTTAATCATTTTATGGAAATTATTATTGTATAAATTATATATTATAATTAATTAATGAAAGGCTCGTATAAATTAACGAAATTGAAAGAAATAAATATTGTAGGTCAACTAAACGAGCAAAATTACATAAGATATAGAGATTTATTAAGGTTCATTCTTTTAATAAATAAATATTCTAATTTAATTCAATTTTTATTTTATTTCATCTAAGATTTTAATCATTTTATGGAAATTATTATTGTATAAATTATATTTTATAATTAATTAATGAAAGGCTCGTATAAATTAACGAAATTGAAAGGAATAAATATTGTAGGTCAACTAAACGAGCAAAATTACATAAGATATAGAGATTTATTAAGGTTCATTCTTTTAATAAACAAATATTCTAATTTAATTCAATTTTTATTTTATTTCATCTAAGATTTTAATCATTTTATGGAAATTATTATTGTATAAATTATATATTATAATTAATTAATGAAAGGCTCGTATAAATTAACGAAATTGAAAGGAATAAATATTGTAGGCCAACTAAACGAGCAAAATTACATAAGATATAAAGATTTATTAATAATTAAATTCTCATTCCATTAGAGATATATATTATATTTATTAGGTATAAATATAATATATATATTATATTATATATAATATTATATTATATATAATATATAATATATATTATATTTATAATAAAATATATAATAATTTAAATAAAATGATTATATTGTATATTATTATGTTTATATTTTATAGTATCGTCCTGTTCTTGCGCGACATTAAATGATAATAATTTTTATAAGATATCCCTAACAACACACATCCCGAAGACGTTCAGAGAACATCCTGAGGATGTTCGAATGTCCTCTGGATATCCTCTGAATAATCCTTTGAATGTATTTCGGATATGGTGTACTATTAGGGATAATTATATTGCATTTTAATAATTTTATGTAAATTATTATTGTATAAAATATATTATTATATTTAATAAAATATATAATAATAATTGAAACAAAATGATTATATTGTATACTATTATTTTTATATTATATATTATTTTATGTCATAAAGAAGACGAGTAAATTCGAGGAAAAATTGTAAATTTAATCATATTAAGTTTTAATCATTTTATATATAAATTATTATATAAAATGTACTATTATATATTTAATAATATATACATATAATAATTCCTTCCTTATAATAAAAAAATAATATGAAATATAATAATAAGAATAATAATATACAAGAACAAATATAATAAAAAAAAAAAAAAATAATATTGCATATAAATATAATAATATGTAATATTAACGTATGTTATATTCGGAATGAAAGCAAAAAGAAACAAACTGAGAGTATTATCTTTCCGGAAAATATCTCGGTATTGTTTTTGATCGCGTGTTGGACGTTTTGTTCGAATCAGTTTGGCTTTGATTAACTAACCAGCTAGCAGTAGGAGAGGAAGGCGAAGGGGAAGAAACATGACAAGATCGATTTCGAAAGACGTATCGTTCGAAGGTCAAACCCACCGAGCGGTGATAACGCCTCGCTTCGCGATAACACCGACGTTTCGATCGGGGGACCGAAAAGGATGCACCGTGTTCGAGTTGCCAGGCTGCATATATAGTGACGATAATACAATAGCGCAATTAATCGAATGCGCTCGCTAATTACTCGATCGGCCATTTTTCAAGCGCAATCTCTTCCTCGACTTTCTCGTTGACTTTTTTTATATTTGAAACTTTATCTATTTCAGATATATATTCCACATTTTTGTCTCGAGGAAACTTTTGTCTCCATTGTTATCCAGGTTTGAATTAAGAAAGGGGGAAATGAGAGAGAGAGGAGTGGAAATAAAATGATTTATCAAGATTATCGTTTACTCTAAAATTATCTTAGATTAATTAAATATTTTCCTCGGTAAAAATTATCGTCGCGATTTCTAAAAAAATTTCAATGGGACGGACAGACTCGAGAGAGAGAGAGAGAGTTCGATTGATACCGAACTAAACGTTATCTTTACGTTAAATGTACCCGATTATACACACCCATTTGCAGTTAGTAACTGTAGTTTTATATTAGCAAACCGATCGGTGCAACGATTTAATGTTCTCGTGTAATCGTTGTAGAGTGTGTAATATTGTGCCATATGGCAACGATACGACGACCTTCTAGATTCTAGAATCAAGGAACGAAATCGTTTATCTCGACGTGACACTTTGCACTCACTCACGAGGCACTTCAGGATGTCTATTTGCGAAAAGAAATCTAATAGGAGATTAAGTTAAGAGAGAGTTTCATTCACCTGTGATTCATTCTACGTTAAATAAAAATTGAGTACATAAAACTTTGCAAAGACACACTTGTGTATATATATACATATGCATATATCTATTGTATATATAGATATACATATGTATATATATTTTTAATTATATTTTTCTTAGCGTATTTTATATATGTACTTGCGTATACATTTTTTAATTTTTTTTAATTACAAAAATTTCTTTATTTAAAAATTTTTTCAATTTTTGCTTTTATAATTTTTAAGTTTTTTAAAACTAATAAAAATAATTTTCTTAAAAATGCTTTCTCAATAATTTTTTATTCTTCAAAATTTTTATATTTATTAATATTTAATTACAATATGGTGAAATTTTATTTTATTTTATTTTATTTTATTTTATTTTTTTCGTAAAAATTAATATCGGACAAAGTATACGAGCAATTTACTTCGCAGACGATAGACACATTTGTGAACTTTGGAACTTCTCGTTGTTCCAGGAGTAACGAGAAGAGGAAGGAGAGATCTCGCGATGCAGCGCGTTGCAGACGCAGCAAGGAGACCGACATCTTTGTTGAACTTGCGGGTGCACTTCCGGTCACGGCGGAACAGGCGACGCACTTAGATAAAGCCAGCGTGATGAGGTTGGCGATTGCCTATCTTAAAGTCCGGTCCATTGTGGATTCCAGTAAGTATGCATAACTGAATATCTCTTCTTATTATTCATGCCAAAAAGCGACGTGAAGAAGGATACATTTTAAAAAATATTTGTTGCAAAAGAATTTTTAAATATCTACAAACAGCTTAAAGCTTTAAAGTGTATTCAAATGTAGATTCTTTATTTCCATAATTTTAGGATAAGTTTATACCATAAAGTATATATAATAGCGATGTTTAAAGCAGTTTGTATACAGAGAGAATTTTCTCTTAGAATTTATTCTGAAAATCATAGTAATCGTGGGACAATATAGTAATTGGAAGAATTTTGCAAGAAGTTTCTCTGATTAAATATTTACACAATAAAAAAATATTAATATCTATCACAATAAAATATAAAAAATGTGTTCGATTAATTTTACTATGTACATTCTAATATTTTTTATTATGGTAAATATTAGTTTATCAGAAAAACTTTTAGAAAATTCTTCCAATACCATATTGCCTCACAATTACCATGATTTTCAGGGTAAATTCTAAGACAAAATTCTATCCATGTAGAAGTACGATGTTAAAAAATAGAAATAACATGTGATTTAAAATGTAAAATACATATATTATAAAAATACACTTGGATATTTATTTACGTTATCCAAAATTTAGGATATTCAAAGACTTGCTTTGATTTTGTTTTATATATTCTTGATTACGTGTAGCTACTTGGCTCATTAAATCATGTTCGAGAAATTAACGAATATTTTCAAGAAATATAATATAGGATCTAGTGTCTAAAACTTTACAATCTGTAAACAATTTTAAAATTAAACAAAAGGTACAATTATATTGACTAAATTGTCGATTTTGTTAATGCAAGTTCCAGCTTCGCTGGAAAAGTCCGAGTTGACCGCAGAGATAGATGCACTGTTTCCAAAAGCTCTCAATGGCTTTATGTTAGTACTCTCCAGTGATGGCAATATGATCTACCTATCCGAGAATGTCAGCGATTATCTCGGAGTGTCGCAAGTATGTCAAACAAATCTCAAAAGAAACATTAATTATATTATTAGGAATAAACTATAATAATGAATAATGAAAACATGTGAATGATAATAAAATACAATTTTCTTGCCATAGATAATTTTTATTTTTACGCTTTTAATAATTAAATAATTGCACGTTAAAAGAAATAATTTTCATAATTTTTTAACACATTTTTTATGAAATCAAAAATGCGTTGTAATAATTTTTATTTAATTTTTATTCTTTTAATAATTCAATAATTGCGTGTAAAATAAGAAATATGTCCTAGTAGTTTCCCTAAAACAAAATCAAATTTATAGACAAATAAAAACTTAAATTAGATATGTAGAATATATAATTTTATACATATTATAGTTGTACACTAGGAATGTATACTTAAAGATGACAAGCTTAGTTTTGCTAGAATCTAGCATTGCACGGTATAAAGCTAAACGATAGATCTCTATATGTGCCTTTCGCGGGCTCTTTTGTACAGATGGACATGATGGGGCAAAGTGTGTACGAATACAGTCATCCCTGCGACCATAACGAATTGCGCGAGTGCCTCTCTTCAAAACCAACGGATAAAAGTGAAAAACGTGCCTGCAGCTTCTTCTTGCGGCTCAAGTGTACCCTCACTAACAAGGGTAGGAAGGTCAATTTGAAGAGCGCCTCCTATAAAGTAAGTCCTTTATCCATATTAATAATTTTAATCTGACTATATATTGTATACTGTGTGCGCGATATAAACTGATACGTTATTAAATTATATTTTTGAAATATAAAATATAAATGAGATCTCTGAAAAAGCACTCATTAAATAATAGTACTTTTATAAAATTTTAATATTTTAGCACGATATTTTATCTTATTCTTTTCTATTCTTTTTATATAAGAATTCTTTCGGAAATTCATTTCCGTGCAATTTTATTTCTCATTTATTATTAATTAATTATAAAAATTAATTGTAAATTCTTCATGTAAATTCTTGATTTTTTTTATCAAAATGTATTTCTGTGAAATTTGCTTAATTTTGACTTTATAACTCTAAAGAATGATGAATATACTTGTGATTTTTGTGAAATATTTATAGGTGATTCACTGCACCGGCAGACTAACAAACATCAGCAATTTAAACTCAAATTCTAAGGAGGTTCATAATGATGAACGAAAAAAAGAGGACGATTCCACGGAACACGACACCGGCGTGTCTCTAGTACTTATAGGAAGTCCTATACCGCATCCCAGTAACATCGAAATACCTTTAGGACGTCATACCTTTCTGTCTAAGCACAATCTCCACATGAAATTCACTTACGCTGACGAGAAGTAAGTGGTGGAAACATATCACGATTTTATTTATATTTTCAAATGCGTTTCTATTTCGACGTTTCTATCGTAAATTCAGTTTCCTACAATCTGATTCAGGATATAGTCTATTTTTAATAAACGCAAATTATTTCGAATAGTTTGGAATTTGACTTGTCACTTTGATCGTTTGATTAGCTATTGAGACTTGCATAATGTTAGTATAAGATTGATGAAATACTTGATTAATCTTATCGTTTTGATAAGTTACGCCATGCTTTATCGTACATAAAATTCGAGTGTGGTTTTCTTATGACATATTGCATTATAAATATATATGTATGTAATATTTTGAAAACAATGTGAAAAATAAATTTTTATTATCGAATTTTTATTATTGCATTGTATAATTGAAAATATGTTTTTCTGTCGTCATCAGGTTGGCTGAGTATCTGGGTTGGGACAGTGAAGAGCTAATGGGTCGATCGTTCTTTGAATTCTACCACGCACTTGACAATGCGGTGCTAGACAAGTGTTTCAAATGCCGTAAGTATTATGTTTCTTATTAAACTTACGCTTGTTCATCAATCATTTATAACGAGTTTGGTTGGATGCACTAGTGCACACTGAGTGCACATAAAGGGTCTCGCACACAATTTTACAATGAAATAAATTATTAAAAATGTAAAATAATTAATAGTAAGAGCTATTATTATTATTATTATTATTCAACAACAATAATAATAGCTCTTACTATTATTTATTTTCCTTTTTTAATTACTTGTGTCATTGTGAATTTGTGTGTGATAACTTTTATATGCACTAGTGCATCCAACCAAATTCGCTACTAGTAAAAAAAATGTGATTATACTTGAAAAAATTCTTTAGAACCCATTTGAAGATTATCGAAGTTATATCTTCCCTTCAAATTACTGAACAAATTCTTGCGCAATTAGAGAATTATTGATTATTAATTATAAAATCTCTTCGTGAATTCCCATTCTCGCTATTAATACATTTTTGTGGAATAATAAAACATTAATCACTCTTGTGATTTTATTTTCCGGTTAAAACAGAATAAAATTTCTAAGAGCATTATCTTTGTATCTCTGTAAAGATTCTATTGTACGTAAGTTGTATAAGTAAAGAGGTATAAAACCTAATGACCATTAAATGACAATTCATATAAGGATTCGTACTTTATCGTTTTGTCTGACGATCTTTCTCAAGATATTACTTTCTACACGAGTAACACGGAAGCTAACCATAAAATAGCCATCAAAATGAAGAGACATAGAAAGAGTGCATTAAAAGGAGGGCTGACAAAAAGAGAGAGAGAGAGAGAGAGGAGAAGCTGAACGTGGATCGACCTGGATGAATGATATCGTGAGGGAATAAGGTTTCAAGGACGATCTCTCTCTTATCGCAACCTGACGAGGGACTCTTTTTACGACCTCCAAGGACCTAACGCGCGGTTAACGTTATCGGCCACCAGCTTATGTAATTCCACTAGTCACCAGACACATTTTATTTATTACGATATCCACGCGCACGCGCGATCACACGACGTAAACGCCTTTATCGCGCTGGTTTCGGTAATTGACTCGTAAAATTACAGGTAGATATATAATGGAAAATGAAACAAAGTGCGAAGTCATAAAAAAAAACGTCGGAAGATACTTATCAATTATTTTATATTTCGCTATAGTCAAGACAGAAAGAGAACGAAAAGAAAGAATGTTAGTCATAATACATCAAGCGAATTGTGTTACGTAAAAACGTTGCAATTATTATAATTGTCGTGAAATGTAAAGAAATAATTGCTTTAACAGTTTTAAGAAATTTAATTTATAAGAAATAATTATTTTAACAAAGTAATTTGCCTGACATTTAATAGCCATAAATATCTGCAAATGTCAAGTTAAATTTAGAAATTAAACAATAATAGAGTTAAGTATTTCCTAACGAAACATCGAAATATCGATCTTATTTATTAATCGATGAATCTGGCATTGATAGACTTCTTGTATCCCTTTATATATAAAATACACGCGCACACGTACGCATTTTATGAGCATATACTCTCGAGAGCATTTGTCGACCGCTCGTTACTGAAGGATATACGGATCGTAAAGGACGATTTAGCCGGCCGCTTTAGGAGCTTCGCGTGTTCCGGCAATCTGCGATGTCGAGGATCCTCCTTCTTTAACGTCAACCAGCTTCGGGCTTTCCGCTCGAATCAGCCTCGCGCTAATCCCGCCCCGGTTACATTTTACGCGAACGAAGGGACGTGAAGATGTATTTTCATCCGCTCTCTCTCTCTCTCTCCTCTCTCTTGTCTCGAAGCAACGAGATAATGCGGTTCTCGAAGGAATTACCTTCGAGCGACAGAATTTGCGAAGTGGTCTTATGATAGGATTTGTGAAATCGCAATAAAATATTTTATATGATCTTTTTTATCTTCTTTAATTTTCTTGCAAAAATAGAAATGCTTTTTATTTTGATCGAATCTTGACAGTGTTTTAAATTGCATTTATATATCTATTACAACAGCTAATTTTTATTTATTTATTATATAATAATTCATTAATATTTTTTTTAGTAGGTCGTATTAATAAGAATGTTAAATATTAATCGTAGTTAAGTAATAGGTATTCTAGATGTTAATAACATTTCTTTTTAAATAATATGCATCAAATAACATTGCAACTTCTATGTATCATTTATAATATTAATAATATTAATAATATTCCAATCTGTCGGGAGAAATAATATTTAATAAGTATAATTATTTCAAAATATTGATTAATTTGTGGAATCTACGCGGTAGCTTTTAATACATGGTAAAATTCAAAGTTTTGTTCTACGAGAACAAATTGTTTGTCGACACGCTAAAAATCTTGCTACATTTTCGATTTTATTCCGATTGCTCTCGACGATTGTCTGCCGATCGATGGAGGATGGAGTTTGCAATCCTACGCCACATCTTTCGTCAGCCGAAACGCCGCTATAAAGCAACGCGAACGCGCTCGCTCGTCCCGAGTTCTGGAACGACCGCACTCTCATCATCATTATTGCTCCCTGTTTCAGTGTTCAATAAGGGCCAGTGCGAGACCGTGGCCTACAGATTCCTCGGCAAACGGGGTGGTTACGCCTGGGTCGTCACTCAAGCCACCCTCATCTACTGCTCCAAGCAACAGAAGCCGAACTCCGTCGTCTGCGTCAACTACATCTTAAGGTAGGATTTAACATTTGTCTATCCTTTGGGTGCAGTAGTTTTCTTTCGCACAATAGCAGAGTACTTTCGATCTCTTTTTATCGTTTCTATCGCATGAAGTATATATGTTGCCATTTCATATTTTCCGCAAATTCATACACGGAAAAGATCTTTGGTTGAAGACGTGACTTAACGTCCTGATTTGGCTCAATTCTGGATGAATCGCTTTATGATTGGGCCGTCAAGTGTGTACTTTTATAAATCGAGTGGCTTCTATAATTTAATTAATTTTTAGTGCTTTTTAAAATCGCAATTTTTCAATAATATTTTTTATTGCACAGTTTTGCTGGATTTTTTCTTCTATTCTCTTTAAATTTAAATATTATAAATATATTAAATAATATTTAAATATTAAATATATTAATAAAATTTAAATACTAAATACACCAAATATGTTAAATATATATTTTGCGCAAAAATTTAATATAATTTAAATCTGACTATTGCATCATTAAGTAGAATTTTCTTCTGGAAAAGGAAGTTAAGAAGTCAGCGTGAAAGGGAACAGCGGAATCATTTCCGCATTTTGCATCGGCTTCCGAAACTTATGATGACATTGCGAGATTACATCATACGCAATAGTAGATGCGCAAGACTCGCGGAATTTGATAGAATGTTCCCGCTTATTTATTCCGCGATGTTATTGCGTGAGAAATTAAATTCCATTACAATTATCGCGTCCTTCGTCGTCTGTTCTATTAAGCCGATTCCCTCGTGTGTAATTATTAAATTGCGCGCAAATTTGAAAAAATATCAAAATTATTTGTGCGTTTATTTATTGATTTAATATTTCAAAAGAAGATATTTTAATCGCGATTAATAATTAATTTTCTTTTTTTCTTCGTATATTTTTTCGACGATAAGAATCTACGTTTTTATTTTCTCGTCATTATTTGTAATATTCGTATTACAGTAAATTATAGTATGTGTCGTAATAATATTGTAAAGATATAGTTAGGTGTAATTAACAACGTTATTCGCCGATAATAGTTATATTTATAATGTTAATTACCGTGAGACGATTCCGTAAAAAAATTCAATAAACTGATTTAGTTTTTTAATTAATGTGTTTGATGCGATTGGACGTGATTTTTACACTAATATCAACGTTCGCGATTGTTTGTTCGATTAGCCGGATATAAATTATTACCCGCTACTTTTGCGGACACGCTATTTCCGGTTATTCCCGGCAAACTGCGAAGGAGTAGTCACGCAAGGTAAGTGCTTCCTTGATTTTTCTCTCGGCGTAGATTTAATCCCCGATTGGTCGAAGAGATTCAAGAGAGATATAAATAATTTTTTAAATAATTATATTTAAAATTAATATATATAATTATATTTAAAAATAGTAAAATGTATTGGCGAAGAAAAATGCATATTTATAATACTAACCCCATTTAATTACATCATTTTTAATTACTTATTTTAGTAAATCAGTTGATTATGGATAAATTATATAGTTTATATATTGATTTATAAAAATAATTTTTATCAATATTTAACATCTTATTTCGAGAATAAAATTTATGAATTATATAATTATGTTTGAATAAATTTCCGCATTAAAATATAACGCATATTTAATATTATGGAATAAAATTTTAAACAATTTTTTTAATATAACAAAAAATACTTTTATTCTTATATAATGTTTTATAAAAAGTTAAGTGTTTTCTAAAAAATTCTTAAAATTTAAATAAATATGATAAGAATGCGTGTGTTTGAAAAAATGGTTTTACTTTGAGGATTTTGAAATTTGCTTTGGAATTTTTTTGCTTTAATCTTATTTTTATGGAATCCCCATTTTTTCTCTGCCTATTGCATTTTTCACATTCTATCTCTGCACCATTCGGGGGTTAAACTCGCCCGAGGAGACAGCCGGAGATCTCTCTGCTTTTTTTGGTCTGCATCATTTTTTCCTTTCTTTTAACAAACTGGCTTTCTCCTCACTCTTTCGTGCTTTTCGCATGTCTGTCGAAAGTACTCTGAACAAGCGCGGCTGTCATTTGAGCCGCTTTTAGCGAACCGAGCGAAATTCGCTCTCGGATTATTACACTCGTATCCTTCTCGTTTCTTTCTCAATATATTTCCAGAAATATTTCGTAACAATCATACCTTTTTTATCAAACTAGCGGTCGCAAAACAATTTAATATAAAAATATACAAAAATAATATAAAAAAGTACTTATATATTAATATGTTAATACAAATACTTATATTATATGAATTATCGTGAAAAAAATCGCGATTGATATGACATCTTTTCAATGTTAAATCTCGTATTACAAAATCATTTTAGATAGTTAAAAAAGCTCGATACGTAGCAATAATAAAACAGTGAGATTACTCTATACTTTCCTCTTTTTGTGAAAACGAGAAACGGAGCAGAAGAAAAAGAAAGAAACTTGTTATCTCGTGGATATTTCGTCGAAAAAATAGCGAACCAACCCTCGGACGATGTTGCACCCCGAAAGCAGAACTCGCACTACTGGCGGAACAATAAAACGAGTTTCGCTTCCCTTTCGGTTCCTTAATACGCGCCGAATCTGGAAAGCCGCTCCCTCTCGAAGAGAGGAGAAAATGAGAAGAGTATTCCGGTCTCCGTATAAAGCATCCCCTTTCTCTCTTTGGGGCGGTGGCTGAAAGGTGGTTGGCAGATCCCGACATTATTCCCCAACCCGTTTCTCCCGAATGCTTTCGCCTACCCTACATCCTCTTCCTCCAGTTTCCTCACTTTTTCTCCAACTTATACTCTCGATTTCGTTGGAGAACGCTCGGGTCCTCTCTTGTCAGTCGGTTGGTTCTCTTATCGGAAGCGGAAACGCTCGCGAGCGGTTCTACATCTCGATCGTGTATATATTGTTAGTATAGGATGTGTTTTATATCGAGCGAAAAATTAATTAGTGTGATTTTTATCATAAACGAGAGTGACAGTTAATATCGTAATATGGAATTAATATTGATATTAATATTTTTTCCGAGAAATGTCGTAAAGGTGATTTAATGCTAAAGATTAGAGAGGCTAACATTAATTAAAGATATTATTTCAGGTCATAAAACGAAATGGTGTAGCTTATATAATCTTGAGTGTCTCTGCTTTTGCTATCGTCGACTAATTTTCGAAATTATGTTGCTTACATTAGTCTTCTGTCCATATTTAAGTAATTAACAAACTCATTTATTTAAATATGGACTCTTCATCTCGGTGCGTAAGTGCAAAGTTTATGTCATCAGATTAATTTTGCTTTATATTTTCACAAGAAATTCTACTTCATAATTTCGTATTATTACCATTCAATATACATACATTTAATTCTTAAAACATGGACAACATTTTCTCTTAGAATTTACCCTGCAAATCATGGTAATCGTGGGACCATATGGTATTGGAAGAATTTTATAAGTTTCTCTGATTAAAATATTTACCATAATAAAAAATATTAATATGTACATAGTAAAATTAATCGAATTTTATTTAATTAATAATTTAATATTCAATTATATATTATTAATATTTTCTCTTGTGGTAAATATTAATCAGAGAAACTTATAAAATTTCTCCAATACCATATTGTTCCATGATTATCAAGTTTTCAGGGTAAATTCTGTATGATTTTTAATTTTTTTATAATTCTGCCATATGTACGTCTTCATATATTCTTAGAAAAAGCTCGCTCTCTGGACATTTGCATATAATTTGGATTTTAACACTGTAACGTCGAGAAGAGAATCCGTCCGGGCAGATCGATAATTAACATCTGTTCATTTTCGTAATTCCCGAATCTCGTTCATCCCGGTTCGTTCCCCTTGAAGCCCCCGTGAAAAACGAGAGCGCGCACTCTCCTCGAAGAAGACGGAAGCGACGCTTGCGCGTTCCTCACCGTCGATACTCGTCGTCGACCCTCTCTCGATAGGAACGTCGAACGAAAGCGAGAGCGACGACGGACGGCGAAAGTGGTGCATCGCGCAAGCTCAGTCGCGATCGCGGCGTGTCGTCGAGAGGGTGGCGGTGTGTTAAATCGTAAGTAAACGAAATCCCAATAAATGATAGGGTGATTATGTACGAAAGTGTTATTCACACAGAAAGAGAGAGAGAGAAATAGAGGAGAAAAAGTAACTTATAACCAGGGTTGGGTAATAACTAGTTAATTAATTAAAAGTTTAAAAAAAGTTGAAAAGTGAATAACTTTTAACTTAGCTTAGTTAATTTAAAATGTATCAATTTTTAACTTCAACTAGTTATTTTTGACCTTACCTATATTAACTTTTTTCCTAAGTTAAATTTCTTCATCTTTGAATGCCATTATTGTCTTTTTATAAGTTATAAACGTATTAGTTTTAAATTAAAGTATTATTAATTTTTATGTTTATTTATCATCAATTGTAATTATCAAAAAATATATTTCTATATAAAAATCATAATTTCTTTGTTAATTGTTATTATATATTTCAAAAGAATTAACAAACAGAAATCTAATTTAATATAATCAATATTTTGAAAAATTAACTTTTGATTTTACTTCAGTTAATTTAATCTTAACTTAACTTTAACTGAGTTAATTTTTTGGTCATAAAACGTTTAACTTAACTAAATTAATTTTATAAGCAACTAACTTTAACTTAACTTAATTTTTAAAAATCATTAATTTACCCAACCCTGCTTATAACTAAAGATACAGAAATTCGATTTCTCGTTGACAGTTATCAGCTGATCGAAGTGTCAATCTAACGAGTAGACGATCGATACGCGGATGCTTTTCGAATTACATAAATTGGGATATATCTGATGGAGGCAAGAATTTTCTCTTCCTACCTAAAATTTTCTCTGATTAAATATTTACCACAATGAAAAATATTAAAAAATATGTACATAGTAAAATTAATCGAACATATTTTTATATCTTATTGTGATAAATATTAATCAGAGAAACTCTTATAAAATTCTTCCAATACAATATTGT